TTTATCTTTGAATCACTTATTCTGAAATTGTTTATTTTGAAAATAATTTATTCGATTAAATCAGATGTAAAATGTGATTATTTTTGGAAAGAATGGGGACGCTGAAGGTCTTAAGCAGGTCATTGTCCGTGTTACGAGATAATGCAACCAGAAAAGGGGACGATAAAGAAAGATTTCATATTCACTTATTATTTGAAAGTATGTATCATTTAACCTTCATTTATCAGTATATATTCTTTTTGGTGACACTTTGGAATGATGGTCCGTTGTAGGCGGGGTGGCTGTGCGGGAGGTGGTGGGTGGTGCTACATTGACACTTGACTTGGTACTATTGGCTAGTGGAGAGGCGGGATTGGCTAGGCGGTGGGTTGTGGCAGGTTTGGGACAGGGGTGGTTACTTGTTAGATATTTGATAATTACTGAAGAGATATATCCTCATTGAGAACTACTTGGGAGCTGTGACCAATTGGTAAGAAATGGCCAATTGGTTGCTGATCACAACAGTGACGTCTTGGGGGTGAACAGTTGGGTTCTTTGTGGAGCCACAAATTACCACGGGGAACCTGGTTGTTCACTTTTGGGACGTTGCTGTTGTGATTGGTGGTTGATTGGTTGTTCTTTGTTGGCTGTCATAGTTCACAGGTGGTTCCCAGTGAGGATATTTTTGTTTGATGATTGTCAGGTATCTGGTGGGGGACTGCCTTTGTCCTAGATTTGCTGCTGCTTGCTGCTTGATTGATCTTGCTTCTCTGCTGGTTGGTGGTGTTGAGTTGGGTGTTGGTGTGGTGCTGCCTGTTGCTTCCTGCATGGTTGCTTGTCTTTTTCTTTGAACACTGGAAAGTCATCACTGGAAAGTATGAAAAGAAGAAATGATCGACAAGCACCTCAGTGCTTAGCAGCATGAGTAGATTAAACTGGAGGTTTAAAAACCCGCTATCTACTCCAACACCAGATAGCGCTGGAGGGCAATGGGATCTGCCTGAAAGCTCCTCTGGCAGCGATAGACAACAACACCAGAAAGCGCTTCAGGCTACTGTGGGCACCTCTGGCACCATGGGATGAACCAGTGCATAATTTATCACATTTCTTTATTTGATTGGTATTGATTTTAATAAGTTTAATCATCTGACTAATCATTCATGTATTATACATAACAACTATGGGCAAGGTTAAGACATTTCACGCACTTGATACACATTGTTTATTTATTTTTGATAAATTATGTTTTGATGTTTTGACCTCCAAATATTTACAGTATAGGTAGGGAGGCAGAGTCTTTTACTCTTCTCTAGTCAACTGTGGGGAGAGATGTTTTGCTCTGACTTTCTCCAGAGTGCGGCAAAATGAAGAAGCCATTTATTAAGAGGAACTGGAGGACCTTTATTGGTTCATAGATGAATGGAAGGTAGAGGTGGAGTCATGGTGTTGCACTCTGGGTAAAGGGTTTAGAGGTGAGACTTAGTAAAGTCTCAGAGGGGGGAATGTGTTGTGATATTATATTCATAAATATGAGGTATGGTTATAACTATAATCAATACATTAATCAATATGGTGATTGTATCAATGATTGCTTCAACATTGGATGTCTTAATATAGACTGTGAGCTTCAGGTGCCCCCTAATGGGCAAGTGTGGTGCTTTCCATTGGGCAGCGCCTATAAACTTGAGTGAACCAGTGAACTTTGGGTGACTTCCAAGAAGGACACCTGCATCCAGTGGGAGGGGTCAGATAAAAAGTATTAGGAGAATGGGTGGAGTAAGATCAATCAGAGGCCGAATCGTCATTTTTTTGGTTGAAAAGACTGATAAGAACGAGGTATAAATATGGGTGCCCAGACGGACAAAGACTCAGATGCAGCGGCTGTCATCTCGGCTTTGTTGCTGTGCTCAATAAAGTCTTATTTTGACATCTGGAACTCTGCTTCTTGAGGTTTTTTAACAACTTCGAAAAAGGACAGTTGTTTGTTCCACGACACTATATGCTAATAGCGGACTCGGGAAACAAAATAGAACTAGTGATAACAAGGCGCTCTGATTGTTTTTGTTGTAGAATACGATAGGGGATATATTCACACGTTATAGAAATGAATATGATGGTGTATAAAATTGATTTTAAGATTAAAAAAATAGAAGATAAAGAATTAACTTGACGGGGCTCAAACTCAAAACACACGGCAGCAACAAACAGGAAGTAAGATCCTCACCAAAAATCACCAACAATTAAAACTTTATCTGCAGCCAGCACTAACTCGGATATAAAATCAGCAAATTCTTTAATAAATTCTGCATGATGCCTTGGTGGCCTGTATACAGTAGCCAGTACAAACATCACAGGGGGTGTAATCATCAGGTTTTAGCCAGGTTTCTGTCAAACAGAGCACATCTAGGTTATGATCAATGATCATATTATCTACAAAAAGTGCTTTCATAGAAAGGGACCTGATATTCAATAAGCCAAGGTTTATCATTTTTTAAATCTGTATTACATCTGTTTTTTATTTGTTGAACGTCAATTAAATTGTTACTCTTAAATTGGTTTGGACATTTTTTGTATTTTCTAGTTCGGGGAACAGACACAGTCTCTATAGTGTGAAATCTAGATGAAAGAGTCTATATGTGCTGAGAATTAGCTGATTTCTGTGGCGTGAGGCGGCTAGCAGACGGTCAGTTTAGCCAGTCTGTCTGCTTCCTGACCCGGGCCCCAGTTAGTCAAGTGCAAACTCTAAGACTATGTACCATATCCTCTGAAATCCGCTAATTCTAGGAAATAATTGGCCTGCTTTAAGTGAATTATTGGGATGCTTATGTGCGTATGTCTTTTGGGAAAAGAAAAAGCAGGGAAGGGGGGCGCTCGTGCAGGTGAACTGGGACCATTGAGATCTGTTCTGGGAACAGAGTGAAATCGAGAGGCTGATCCTCTCAGGACGCAATGATTTTCCTTTGGAACAGTCTCAGGATGAGTCATTGAAACATGCCTTTTAACAGGTCCGTTATATCGACAGTCAACCTCTCCAACCTGCTCGTCCGCTTTCCTATCCATATTTTGCGATTATAAAAGACCGGTTGTATCGAGTGACCCAAGACACTCAGACAAAGGAAGATACAACACAGCTGTTAGTGCTAAAAAGCCGTCAGGAAATGCTTTTCCAGGCGGCTCATTGTAATCCCATGGCTGGACATTTAGGTCAAACAACAACAATCTTTTGGCCGGGCATTCACGAGAATGTGTGCAGGTGGTGTGCATCTTGTCGTGAATGTCAGCTGGTAAATCCACCGGCCTCCCCAAAAGCGGCATTGCGCCCTCTACCCTTAATGCAGGTCCCCTTCAAAAGAATTGGGATGGACCTCATCGGGCCATTGGAACGATCTGCATGAATTATTGGCATTAAGTCGATTTGCACCAGTGTCTATCACCCACAAACGGACGGGCTGGTGGAGCGATTTAATCGCACTTTAAAAACCAGGAATCGCAAGTTCGTTCACGAGTACGCCAAAAATTGGGATAAATGGTTGGAACCCCTCTTGTTCGCTGTGCAGGAGGTCCCACAAGCCTCTACAGGGTTTTCCCCCTTCGAGCTTCTTTATGGACATCAGCTCCGAGGGGTTCTAGACGTCCTGAGAGAAATTTGGGAGGACGGACCTTCTCAAAGTAAGAATGAAATTCACTATGTAATGGAACTGAGAACAAAACTCAACACTTTGGGGCAGCTATTGTTGTGGATTTTTCTTGGGTGCAGCCAATGAAGTGGAGAAGCAGAGTTCCAGATGTCAAAATAAGACTTTATTTAACAAAGAAATAAAGCCGGGAAGACAGTCACAGCATTCCAAATCATTCCAAAGTCTTTGTTTGTCAACTCATATTATATACCCCTTGTTCTCTCCAAATTTCTTCATTTTCTGTTTTTTCTTTGTTCCGGTTATTTTTTATTGGTTATAAATACCTGATTTGCCACAATTGTTTCCTTTTTTAAAAAGGCTTTTATTTCATTGGTTGGTAGTGTGGTCATACGAGATGTGTGCGTCACATCCATCCACCTGCTCCTGATAATATTAGATTATTTCATGTTTACTTCTACTGTCTACTGAAAGGTCCATTGTCTAATGAAAGAAAAGACCATTATACGTGTTGTTACATTATTTCAAGTTCACAGGTGTACTTTGTAATGAAAGGTTCACTGTCTAATGAAAAGACTATTATTCGTTCTATGACATCCAGGGTTAACATAATTCAGCATATTAATATATATATTGATTACTTTCATTTTCACATAATACTTCAATAAAATTACACAA